GCAGCCTCCGATTATGTAATCTTCCCATTAGAAACCTCTGCCTGATGTTCATGTCGAAGGACCAATGCATATGCCTTGTTTACCGTAGGCAGTGGTTCGAGGAGAAGAGTATTGCTTCGAACCGTAGCATACGATTCGTTCAATCCCATAAGAAACTTCATGGTTTTCTGAGTCTCAACATACGATGTCATCTCCGTCTTAGTTCCACAACTGCATGTGGGAATGGAACACAAAGTGTCGCGTTCATCCCACAAACTTTTGAGTTTGGTAAAATAAGAACTTATACTCATGTCGCCTTGGACGTAATCATGAATCTCATTCTCAACATGGAATAATTGAACTACATTCACATGTGAGAACCTCTCCTGCAAATTGGTCCACATTTGTTGAGCATCTTTGTAGTTGATGACGCTCCCTGAGATCTCCTTTGACATGGAACCTAGCAGCCATGTCTTTACCAAGTTGTTGCAACGATTCCACTGCTGCAACTCTTCAAGATTGTTTTCACTTGGCTTTGTGATTGTCCCATCAACAAAACCAACTTTGTTCTTGACCGTTAAGGCCATACTCATGGATTGAACCCATGTGTTGTAGTTGTCTTCCACCAATGGCTAGGGCACAAGGATCGCACCAGGTTGGTTCGAGTGATGGAGAAAAAAATGGATGATTGGGATTTTCCCATTTTGGATGAGAAGTCATGCCTGAACTGGTTGGCTTCGAATTTGGCTTGTCGCCCATGATCGTGTTTGTTTTGGAATTATGGTTTGCGTGTTTCCCAGATCAATGCTCTAGTACCATCTAAGAAAACGTGTTGTACTGGAATTGTATTTTCATATATATTCAATTAGGTTTACATTCTTATATACACATATCAGTCAACACATTCCTATTCTATTGCCTACAAGTAAGGCTGAAACATAGGCTAAATAAGGAAGTAAATAATCTACATATCAATTTACAATATATGAAAATCAATCAGAAATTTCTTTCTCAACATATTCAACGAGATAACCCCAAACAAATATGGGGATAAATTCCATAACTTTTATTATATTTCACCTTCTTTCATTTAGGAAGACATGTTAGCTAAAGAAACAAAGAGATTGATGATCAAGAAGTTTAACATGTAGCAGAGTTTATTATCAAGTCTCAACTAACTCAACATATTTTTAGGGGTGCATATAAATTGTTTTTATTTTCTGACTTTACTATTCGAAACATATTGGAGGAAGAGAAATTGTAAGAAGCCAATACACTGAGTTAGGACGCATTTGAAGTTGTTTTTGTTTTTTCAATACTCGTTATGTGGTGGAGCAATTTTTCATCTTCCACTCACTTCGACGTTGATTGCCCATTCTGTTGCGAATGGAACGGTACAGTTGATGCACTATAGTACTTGTGTGATACATGTTTTTTCCCAATACAATTTGTTAATTTGATCCTTGTAATAGAGTGTTTCTCACTACTTTAGCTACCAGGAGATTACACTAATTTTAAATTCGTTAAGCAGCACGAGTTTCTGTTTAACTTCACATATATTATGACCTTATCTGGTACCAATAAAATCTGAATAAAAAGTTTGTCCAGATTTAAATGAAACATTATATTGTGATGTTGAAAGACAAATTATTAGATGGGGTAATCCGTATCGATTCCCGATCAATAACAATGCATCTTCTCGCTCTCGCTCTGTCCTAATTAATCGCGAGGGCTCTGGGCATGAGAACGAAAGTTCCGGAATTGAACAAAACGTCCGAGGATGAAAAAAAAAAATGCTCCTTGCGGACAAAATTTGATATATGAATTTCACGAGTAGTATTGTTTGAAACGATTTACAAGTAACCGATGTTGTAAAGAGAAACATATACAATTGAGAATACATCTTTGCTGCAAGTATATTATAAATGGTCTTTTTTCCTTAAGGAAAGGGTTGGTGCCTCACACACAACTGTTGATGAAGAACTAATCTTGCATAATCATTTTCTACAAAATTTAAATAAAAAACTGTTGTAAACGATGCTATTGGTGAACAATACTATGTATCTAAGTATCAAATTGATGCAATTGAATGATGGAGTGCAATTTTAATGATCATATAGAAATAGTTTAATAATTATTGGTATGATGCCTAATACTGCACAGTACTAATCAAATAGTAAAGGCATTCCATGAGCCGTTCTATCACCCATTTGTTTATTTTATCAGCACATTGGTTGCCACATACGTGTATATATTCTTTTTTTTTTTCCAGCATTATTGTTGATAGCATCTACATCTATTAACATATGGTATTAATATGGCACTATTGCATTTTGTAAGATGAAGGCACATTGCTTAAACAAATAAGCTCTAATATTCGTTTGACTTGACAATTGACACAGGTCCAGTTGGTTTTTCTACAATATAACGGTGTAGGGGATGCATCAATGCTTGAACGGCTAGATTAAGGTCATCAAAATTCAATCATGTAGATTCAACCGTCCAATGCATCGATGCATCTCATACACCTGTGCATTGTAGAATTTTCGCATTTTCGCATTTTCTGGGGGTAGTAGATGAAACCGTCTTCATATTTTAAAGGGTAGCTAGATGCAACATTATTATTAGCTCCCAAGTAAGCATATTTCTGTCTCTTGGACCAATATAATCCTATTAGAATATGATCATGAGTATCAGTCTTAAGGCCGGCTATTTGTTTCACGTTGGTATATAAATTAATAAGGTAAAAAGATATAATTAGTCCTTGTTTGTGAAGGATTGAATAGACGTATGTAAACTGGTTTATTAACACTTCATGTACAATAATGTAACTGGTATTGAATGAAGAGTCTAATAGGAGAATTACATGGATTAAATATGTATAAATTGTGGCTTCTACTCTTACAAAACATGCGCTCAAATTCGAACTAAGACCTATTGTTAGTTTGAATACTTTTGGTTTTGACAGAAAGAAGAAGAAATACTACTTTGTTTGATAATGGCTTCATCTTCTTTCAACAGATGCGGGTTAGTTTTTCCTTCTATATACATGTCGCTGTCAGTTCATCGATTTAGTTATTTGTGGTTTTATTAATTACGTGCTCGACTATGGCCAACGATTTAATATTCTAACAAATCCTACACGCATAACCCGTGAATCATATAATAATCTTGTTCCAGGAGTTAGATACGTTGAGATCCGACAGCTACCATGCAATAATTTTGTTTTCTATTGTTTTCAATTTAGATTGATTAGTCATATGTTAACGCCATGGCACCAATTATTCTCATTCCCTAGTAAACACGGATAAAATTTTGTCCTTGCTAGTTCAGTGTCTATCCATGATAATAAACCCAAGTAAGAGATATTTTAATAATCTTAATATTAATTAGAAGACAAACGATATAGTATGGTTTGTTTTTTCATTCAAATTCATGACCTCTTAACTGATTGAGCCATGTTCATTAAACACTGTGTCCTTTTTAAGAACAATAAAAATTGTTGGGTTCAGAATTTGCATCTACAACTTATTCAAGATCTTAATGGAAACAGGAAAATATTGGAGTGAGTAATTGATCTCATTTACCTCGTTGCTAGTTTTGTGCTCATACAATACCATGTCGTCCAAAACGATAATGCTGGGAAGAGCATATTTAACTAATGAAATTAATATTGGCATGGAAGTCGATTGATGATGGCTTAATTTTGATTCCCAACCAGCTTAATCCTCTGGCAATTTCATTTCTGAAACACTATGGTATTCCTAATCCTAATACACAACAACGCAAATCTCTTTATAAAACTCCACACATCTGCGACCTTTGACCACATCTCTCCACACGGTGGCGAATGCATGGGAAGTCGTTTTATTAGTGATTGGTGCAAATAAAGCGAGGAAAAAAGAAGTTACTGTCCTTGGACATAAGTATGTTAAGTAGTGGTAATTTTTATCATCCTATTGACTGTCATTTAATGCACTTAAATTTTAAAATTTGTGTCGTAGATACATTAAATAACTCATGTAACAATAATCAATGAGATAATCAGCGATACTGCCGATTAGCATTAGCTAAGTCATTCTAATATCAATCGGTCCAAGTGAAACTATAATCTGAGTGTCTTTTTCTCTAGAGTCACTAACGCGTGGTAATTATTCCACACAAGAATTTGGCCACCGGCCATTTACATTTAGTGCGTGAATGCGTTGGGGTCTTCCGGCAAACGTTGTCATCCAATATACATATAAAAACAAGACAAAAAGGCCATAATTACTGTACATAATTTATGTGCAGTACTTAAATGTGTGGACATCAAGACACTTGCATATCGACCCTTCCCCACTCACCATCACCCATGCCCCATCACCCTATAAATTTTCAGTTAAACCCAAACACGAAGTGATACATTACGTATCATTATATAAATAATAAGATACTTGTGTTAAAAATTTAACAACTTAAAAAATAAAATTTTTCTCTGCTTGTATTATGACAAGTGGCATACCATCAATGTTCCAAGCAAAATGAAAAATTTCCCCCATCACACATGCAATTTTATATATCAAACAGTGGAAGCCATATATATAGAGAGGATCCTCGTTGGATCCTTTTTGTGAGGATTATGGGGATCTTCCAATCACATCCGTTCATTCTATATCGTACAATCATTTTTTGTCAAGTACTGTTTATATTCAATTTTAAATAAAAAATTTATAATAATTTTTTATCGCATAATATACAATGAACGGATATGATTGAATGATCTCCAAAATCCTCCTCGATATGCACACACACACATATATATGATCCCTACTCTTAGCTACTCTTTTTAACAAAAACGCGTTATCTTCTGCTCTTTTCTTTTTTCCTCTGGCTTCTCCTGTCTTTGTTTGTTCCTTAACTTTCTTCTTTAGTTTTCTTCCTCCTTCTACCCTCATAATTCCGATGGTATAAATACTACCCCACCTCCACAACCCCACTCTACTGAAAAACCCACCCACCCCCTTCATTTCTCTCCTCTTCTCTCTTCTTTCTGTGTGTGCTTTTGTAAATCAATCACTAAATAGCCTAGCTTGCTAGCTTGTAATAATGTACCTCTCTTCCAAAACCATGTTCTTTAATCTTCTCACGATCTTCATCTTCTTCCTCCTCTCTCCTTCTCAATCGATTTCCATCCCGAAAGATGATCAGAACAAGCACCAAAACAAGTTGAACAACAACGACACTAGTGCTTTTTCTCTCTCTTTCCCTCTCACTACTTCTCCACTTTCTCTCTCTCCTCCAAACACGTCCAAAACATTTCATGCCTCTCTCGTTTCAAACTCCAAGCAAAACCCTACACTGTCCAGAAGATCGGCTGGTGGTGCTACACTAAAAACTCCGTCGTACAACTACAAGATTTCGTTCAAGTATTCAATGGCTCTGATTGTTTCTCTCCCTATCGGAACTCCGCCGCAGACCCAACAGATGGTTTTGGACACCGGAAGCCAACTCTCATGGATTCAGTGCCACAACAAGAACCCCAAACCACGGCCACCTCCTCCTCCCACAGCGTCTTTTGACCCTTCTCTCTCTTCCACCTTCTCTGTTTTGCCTTGCACTCACCCTATTTGCAAACCCCGGGTTCCCGATTTTACCCTCCCAACCTCTTGCGACCAAAACCGCCTCTGCCACTATTCCTACTTCTATGCCGATGGTACTCTCGCTGAGGGCAATCTCGTCCGAGAAAAATTCACCTTTTCTCGTTCCGTAAGTACCCCTCCCTTGATTCTTGGTTGTGCTAAGGACACCAGTGACACCAAGGGTATTCTGGGTATGAACCTTGGGAGGCTATCTTTCGCTTCCCAAGCAAAAGTTACCAAGTTCTCCTACTGCGTACCTAGCCGACCGGCTCGAACCGGGTCCAATATGCCGACCGGAAGTTTCTACTTGGGCCACAACCCGAATTCTGCGGGATTCCGATACATTGACCTCTTGACCTTTGGTCAAGGTCAACGCATGCCGAATTTGGACCCCCTTGCCTATACAGTTGTAATGGTGGGGATAAGAATTGGTGGGAAAATGTTGAAAATTCAACCCTCCATATTCCGACCCGATGCCAGCGGGGCGGGTCAGACTATGATTGATTCGGGTTCTGAGTTCACGTATTTTGTGGATGAAGCGTATAGTAAGGTGAGGGAAGAGATTGTGAGACTGGCGGGAGCAAAGTTAAAAAAGGGTTACGTGTATGCAGGTGTGTCCGACATGTGTTTTGATGGTGACAGCATAGAGATCGGGCGGTTGATAGGAGACATGGCATTTGTGTTTGCCAAAGGTGTGGAGATTGTGACGCCAAAAGAACAAATTCTAGCCGAAGTTGGGGGCGGAGTCCGTTGCGTTGCAGTCGGACAGTCCAACATGCTTGGTGCCTCCAGCAATATAATTGGAAATTTTCATCAGAGGAATCAATGGGTTGAATTTGATCTGGCAAATCGTAGAGTTGGATTCGGTAGGGCTGATTGTAGTAGATCAGTATGAATATATATATATGATTTGGTGGGGGCTGTACAAGTTAATGCAAGGGTGGCAAATATGTCATTTTCATGATGATGACCTAATACAAGAATCTAAACGAGTGAAGAGATGATATTGCCACTTGCAATGCAGTAGTTAGTAGTATCAATATCTTGACTGTTCCAAGTCTCCTGTATGTATTTACCGAATGTATTATGTGTGTGTGTGTGGTCAGTAGTATCAATGTCTTGACTGTTCCAAGTCTCCTGTATGTATTTACTGAATGTATTGTGTGTGTGTGTGTGTGTTGAGACCAATGTATGTACAAGATGTGCAATAATATAATCACTTAATTTGGTAAAAATAATCATCTCTCCTTTTCAGGTTTTTTTTTCTTCGGTTGGAATTAAACTTTCGACCTAACTTAATTCTAATTATGTTAAAGCATGTTCTTTAATATCGTTTGTTCAAAAAAAAATATATGGTTCTTTTAGACTCATTAAAATAATATATAGTTGTTGTTGGGTCTAAGGAGATAGGCTTGAAGAAAACTCACTAAAGGATGAGAAGATCAAGACATTTGGCTTACAAGCTAGCCTAAGGAGCTAAGCAGACAGAGAACTACCACAAGAACGAAGAAGATAGCCGCTCTTAGCTTTGGACCGTCTGCCAACAAAGAAGGACGAGCAAAAAACTTAAAAGTACTTTCCGACCATTCTTGATAGTTGGCAAGCCTGACAACTTTTTAGCATGGAGCTCCAAGGGTAGGTCTACCCTGACGTCAACTTCGTTCAACGTGTTGGCCATCAACGTTAAAATAAGTCCATGAAGGGACGTAAATACTCTCAGGCCTAGAGCTGCTAAGTGCTTTCCGACCACTCTTGAACAAGGGGTGCGCTCGATATGCGTCGTCCTGGGAATCATGCAAGTAGCTCTGAGCAAATGTCACTTATGTCAAGTGGATAATGGAGGAATAGCTTATATGTCCCATATATGTGTTCGGCCCATTAAATGATAGGACAATGAGAGAATTAAGGACCCAAGACTTTGGGACTCACTCAAGGCCTATATAAAGAGGTTGAGTACCCTTATAAGCAGTCGGATCCATGAGAGGAAAATCAGATTACATTGTTTCAAGTTCTCTTGTAAATTACTTACATCATTTCAAGTTATCTTGTAATCTACATCAAATATATAGCAGATCACTAGCCCTTTTTAAGGGTGAACCACTTAAATCCTTCTATTCATAATTAGTTTTATATCCTGAGCCCATTTTTAGGAGTGAGCCGCTTAAATTCTTTTGACCATATTGGTTTTTGTTGACCTCCTAGTTTTGAGCTTAACAAATTAATTTACTTCACTTGTATTCGTTATTTTGTTAAATTATTATTGTTAAGGGAAGGGGGAGAGATCGAAACTATTACAATAATTTATGGAAGGAGAAATTTTGAACTTGGGATGGATGGGTGGAAACCCAACACCCTATTCAGTAGGATATTGGATAACATGACTTGAGCTAGCATTTATTTGTCACTTGAGCTAGCATTTATTTGTCACTTGATCATCTAACAAATGTTAGATGATAACTTTGGCCACCTCACACTCTAAGACTCTCTAATTTAGTGAAACGACAGTACTATAATTTTGAAAGGAAAACAGGTAAATGTGTCCCCATCGACTCATAGACAATAAAGGGAGTAGTTGTTATATGATATGAAGATTGATAAAATGAATTCAAACTTTGAAGAATCTGGTTTGTTTTTTCTTCTAAAATTAATCAATTCCATTGAACATGGACATGCATCCTTTTGACCTATAATAATTAATCCAACAAAGAGAAAAAATATCGAACATTGGGGTCTAAACTCGGCCAAACTAAACCCTTACTTTATGGTTCTACTTCTTATCCATATCCTTGTAAACTGTTATCTCACTCATTACATCTCTCCTGTGATTTTTATGCTGTATTCCAGTAATAATTTTCTTGTTTTAATCTTTATGGGAGATGCAGATTCAAATTCGAATCATTCTTCAATACTTTAAAGAGAAATATCACTAAATTTTAAGCTTTATTTCGTTTTATATGCTTGCATTTGATCATTTTTGTTGTTAATACAAGAGATGTTTTTACTTTAATTTATACTTGAAGAGAGAGAAGAGGGAGAATAGTTTAAACCAAAAACACAACGGGTTGAAGAATAATGCACTAACCACCAAGCAATCTATACTACTTGTTGCTTTGCATTTGATCATTAAAAAAAAAAAAAAAAAAAAAGAAGAAATGCGCCACTCCATTCATGCGACTCAAACATACTTTAATTAGCAAAATGGCCAACGGTATTTCATTACCACATAGGTCTAAGAGAAAAAAAAAATAATCTACATATGTTAAAGCTTTATGTAATCGATTCTTACCAGTGTGAGCCTGTGAACATCTTTCTTTGTTTTGTTTGTGTTTGTGTAAACATCCAACAAAATAAACAAGTCATGGGATTAAGGATAATGCTAGAAAAATTAAATTTATAGACAAAATTATAGAAACTAAAGGACATAGAAATTCATGGTTGATTAATTACATTGATAAACGTATTCATTCATATTAGTAACATATTATTCAGTTTTCAAACTGTCTCCAATTTTAATCTCCTAACATTACCCTGGAATTAAAGTTTAAACCCGGCAAAGCATCATGCCGAAGATTTAAGTAGAGGAAAATGTGGGCTCTACCAAAGTTGGAAGCGTGCAGTGAAGTGGAGAAACCTACTTGGGACTCTTCTGCCGACTCAATACTCCTCTTTCCACAAATATTCCCGACACTCACATGTTTGACATTTTCTTTTCTTTTGAATCTTTGATTATATTTTGTAATATTTTCTTGTAACATAATTGATTAAAGATTTTATAGAAAAATATATATCATAAGGTCGTTCTTCTTCTCACCCCTTTAACCTTTTGTCACGTGGAACTTGGAAAAATGTTCCATCATTTCAAAATCATGATTGTTCTTTTATATATTGACAAAATTAAAATGGACTTTATTTGGTTTGTATACGTGGCCTCAAATTATAGATAAAGTTGCATGCATTGTCATGAATTAATGAGACTAATTTAATTAACTTTACAAAAAAAATTGACAGTTGTCATCCTATGCTTAATTTGATCTGAAAAATTCATTCATCATCTCGAATATAATGTGAAGCATTTGATTAAGAAAACGAGATGGTTCACGAAAAAGCAAAGCTAATTAAACCCTAGTAACCTACAGAAAATGACCTTGAAAGGCATGAGCTATGCCCTCTCGTGAATGTGGTGAGTTATGATCGATCGTCCAATCTTCTTGTGCCAATGCGAATGCATGAATAAGTAGTAACTAATAAGTTCTTATCATATGAAGGAGATGATATCATCGACATAAAGCAATCCAATCTTCTGTCAGAGTGTAGACAAACACAAAGATGAGGATTTAAGTAAAGACAACAAGCATAAAGATGACAATCCAAGTGAAGGGAATTCAAGGGTCTAGATGATGATAAGTGTCACAAGATCCAAAGGAAGTTACAAGGTTGTTAGAATCTGGTGCTAAGGTTGTTAGATTGTTAGATTGTTAGCTTGTGTTGCAAGTAACGTAATTAGATAAATACATATAGCTAAGGTGTAAGAAGATAACTTGACTCTCAAGAAATACAAAGAAAACTTCTCTCAACTCTCAATCTTTCTCTCTCTCTCTCTACAAATTGGTTTCTTCGATCATTTCCATTGAAGCTGCTGCTTCAATCTTTACATGGTATCATCGCCACACATCGACCTGGCGCTTCCGCATCTCAATCAAAGCATCTTCTGCATATCAACTGTTTGATAAAACGTCTCAGTGAATGAATTCTACAAAGTATCAACAATGGTTACTGCTGATCAGTTAAAGATTGTTTAGTCTCCGATCAACGGCCTTATCCCACCATTTCTACATCAATTACAATCAAGCTTGATGATTCTAACTACTTAACTTGGAGTTTTCAAATCACACTACTCTTCGAAAGTCATGGAACTATGAGGTTTGTAAATGGATTAAAAAAATGTCCTCCGAGGTTTGATAACGATGCTACAACTGAAGGGATTGAAAATGATGATTATCTTGTCTGGAAGATGCATGATCGTGCTCTTAGGCAATTATTCATTGCAACTCTGTCTACAACTGCAATGTCCTGCATAATTGGAAGTCAAAGTTCTCATCAAATGTGGGTTAATCTTGCTGAGAGGTTTTCGACAGTTACAAAAGCTACTATCTTTCATATGAAAATTGAGCTTTGGAACATCAAAAAATGGTTTGAATCTATCTTTGTGTACTTGCAAAAGATCAAGGGTGCAAGGGATCATCTTCCAGTTGTAGGAGTTATTTTTTATGATGATGATGATATAATCATTCTTGCCCTGAATGGTCTTCCTGAAAAATTCAATACTTTCAGATGTGTTATAAGAGGCAGATTTCAAATCTCAATTGTTGACAGAAGATACTACAATTGGTCAATACTATAAGTCCTCAACACCTTTTGGTTCTGCAATGGTTGCTGGTACTGAAACCAATAAAGGGATAGCTCTAGTTCTTGATCAAGACTCATCACAATCTGTTGAGTTTGGTTCTAGCTCTGGAACCAATGATCAAAACTACAAGAGTAATGGTAATGGATCAAATTTTACTGGTTATAATTCTGGTGGTCAATACAATAACAATGGCAGTCAATACAACAACTATGGTGGTCATTATCAAGGTTCTTACAACTAAAGGGGTTACAAGGCAAACAACTTTAGAGGTAAAGGAAGAGGCAGATCATATCACTCTGGGCCAAGATCTTACAATCATCCACCAAATGCAAGTCCTGGAATTCTTAGTGCTTCAAGGCTATTTCAAACTCAATGTCCAGATCATCAATCTAAGATACCAACATGCTAAATTTGTAACAAAAGAAGACATGTTGTAGCTGATTGCTTCCAGTGACATAGTACATCAGTCACAAGTTTTAGTTCTCCAATTCAATGCCAAATTTGCTAGAAATGTGGTCATTCAGCTATTCAATGTTATCATAGAGGCAATTTTGCTTATCAAGGAAAGTCACCACCCCCAAATCTCTCTGCAATGCATGCTAATCATCAACCATCTGCACCTGCAAAACAATTTTGGGTTGCAGACATTGGTGCGACTTCACATATGACATCTAAGCTAGCTAACTTGGAATTAGCAAGTCCATATCAAGGTAATGACACACAGCAGGTGGTGCATGTTTGCATATTTCTCACA